GGCGGGCACCTGTAGTCCCAGCTACTCTGGAGGATGAGGCAAGAGAATCTCCTAAGCCCAAGAGCTGGAGGTTGCTATGAGCTATGATGTTACAGCACTCTACTGAGGGCCACAAAATGAGACTCTGTCTCTTAAAAAAAAAAAAAAAAGATAATTGGAAAAATTTTAAGGGAGAGGGGTGTAAACTGTTTTTCACTTGGTAACTTACTGAGGAAGGATGAATCAGTTATCAGCTCTATATATGCAAGTATATGGCAGTGAAGAGTTTTAAAAAAGAAGACGTTCTTATGAGTATTGGCTTTTACCTTTGAGTAGCTTATAGTTTAATAGAAGGAAAGGAATGAAGTGAACAGATTAGTGCACTGAGTGCGAAATCCAAGTTTTGAGGTTAAATGCAAAGGCACATAGGGCAATAAAATGTCTGTTTTCCAGTAGCTTCATTTTATTAGTAGGTTTTGAGATTAAGAAAAAAAATAATGAAGGATTCTGAAAAATAAACCCCACTTTCTCTGGTGTTGAGAGACCTGGAGTTGGGCAGCTCAGTGGAGGGCAGTGATTCAGGGTTTTCCTTGAATGGTGGCTTTGGAATTGTCCACTGTGTAATGAGATAATGATGGGTCATGAAAGCCTACAACTTGGGAGAATTACTATTCTGAAAGGAGAGAGATGGAGCTATGGTTTGGGTGGCCATGAGATATTCTAGCAGGTGGCTATAGCTTCTTGGACCTTCACAAATACCATCCGATTTTACACACATTTTAGGACTTTAGTCAAATTTCATATAGATTTTTTAAAAAACTACAGGCTTCTAGCGTGCATTTTACATTAAAGGCCTCTTAGCCACATCCTGCTTTGTGGAGGGAGTAAAACCTATCTCTTCCTCTTCTTCTTCTTCTTTTTCTTTTTTTTTTAACCCTTCTATAGGAATAAATTTTTGTTTTAAAGAGGCAGACTCTCGCTCTGTCTGATAATAGCTTACTGCAACCTTGAACTCCCAGTATAGCCTGCTATAGCCTCGTAAACATCTGGGACTATAGGCACACACCATCATACTCGGCTAATTTTATTTTTTGTAGAGATGGGGGTCTCACTCTGTTTTTCAGGCTGTTCTTAAACTCCTGGCCATAAGTAATTTTCCTGCCTTGGCCTCCCAAAGTTCTGGGATTACAGGAGGGCACTGCTGCACCTATTGTAAACTTTAATATTCTAGAGAATTTTTGAGAAATTGTAAATATGTAAGGAAATTATCATACAGCTATGAAAATGAACTCAAATTCCATAATTTGTACTAACTTTATTGGATTCGTCTGCATTTAAATTGAGGCTTTTTATCTTTTCATCCAAGGGTCGTAATGGTATGAATGGATTTTATAAAGTGACGAGGTTATAATAAAATTGTTTTCTGTGCCATTCTTCATAACAGTGCCTTTCAATCAACTATTTAATTTTCTGTTGAACAACTGTGTGCGTGACACTGGTCTGAGTCTAGGTTTTTTTTTTTTTTTTTAAGACAGAGTCTTTTTTTTGAGACAGACTCTCACTATGTGGCCCTGGGTACCGTGCTGTGTCGTCACAGCTCACAGCAACCTCAAACTCTTGGGTTTAAGAAGCAATTCTTTTGCCTTAGCCTCCCAAGTAGGGGGGACTATAGGCACCCGCCACAGCACCCAGCTATTTTTGTTGTCATTGTTGTAGTTGTCATTATTTGGCAGGCCCGGGCCAAGTTCGAACCCACCAGCCCCAGTGTATGTGGCCAGCGCCCCAGCCGCTGAGCTACAGGCTCCGAGCCATAAGTCATATTATATACATTGAAAGATACCTACATATTTCAGTGGTTTCACCTCTAACCTGTAACGTCAGAATCAAAAGAGAGATTTATGTTTTTATGTAAGAATAACCAAAATGCATTTACTTAATTAAGACTTTGTTAAAGGCACTTGTGGCTCAGGTGGCTAAGGCGCCAGCCACATACACCTAAGGTGGAGGTTCGAATCCAGCCTGGGCTGCCAAACAACAATGGCTTCAACCAAAAAATAGCCAGGCATTGTGGCGGGCGCCTGTGGTCCCGGCTACTTGGGAGGCTGAGGCAGGAGACTCGCTTGAGCCCAGGAGTAGAAGGTTGCTGTGAGCTGTGATGCCACTGCACTCTAGCCAGGGGGACAGCTTGAGGCTCTGTCTCAAAAAAAAAAAAAGACTCAAGCAAGAGGTAGTTACATTGGAGTGTTTTTTCTTCCCCACTTAGTGAAGGAAGTGACAGGTTATTGAAGTGTTAGCTCAGCTTTCTTTTAGCTCACTCATTAGTGTAAAGAAAATCCATTGGAAACTTTGGTTTTCGTCATAATTGTTCTCTTCTAGTTGCTACCAAATTACTCAGTGAGCGCCTGGCTTTGTTTCCTAGTATCCTCTCTGCCATCTTTATTTCTCTACTGTGATACTAATGAGAAAAGAAGTAGCTCGTCGTACAAGAGATCGAGAGCAGAGCAAGAGACCTGAATGGTGAATCTTGGTTAGCATGCTAAGAAGCCACCTGTTCTGACTGTAGTTTTTTAATCTGTGCTTTTAGGATGGTACCAAGCTTGTAATATACATTCCATATTAAGTATGTTAACATTGATTACGTTGTGTACTTCTAAGATGCAGCAGTGTGAGAATTATCTACCAACTGTACAGAGAACAATGCCTCGCTCAGTAGGAGTTCAATAAATTTGAAGGAATGAATAAATCCCTTTTTCCTTTTTGTCTTAAAATTCACTTTTTAAAAGTAATAGGAAGGTCTTTGTCTTAAAATTCACTTTTTAAAAGTAATAGGAAGTAATA